ATCAAAACTGTGACCTTCTGGCTCATAGACCAACGCTCAACCGCTGAGCCATGCTGGCTGGACAGAGGCTGAGCTTTCATAGTTCCATGACACGGCTCCACAGCAGACGTGCCTGTCATTCCTCCACTCTCCTAAAACCCAGGCAGCATCTGGAGAAAGAGTGAAGAGCTTCCATACCTACAAGGCAACTAATGGACCATCACAGGCATCCCCTTAGAGGTTAAGATGCTGTGGCCTTTAACCCCATCCCAAAAAAGTATGTGTAAAGGTAACATACATTAATAGGAATGTTAGTCTAGAATAGGTAGATTAGGTATTTTATATTGGATAGAGTTTTATTGGGTTAAATAATCCTATAATTAATATAAATGTTTAAATATATATTTAAAAAATGAAAAACACTAACGTTGATAAATGAAATAAAACAAAGAAATGTAAGAGAAAACAAAAAAGCAAAGTAAAATAATATATAAATGTTTTTTAAAGGCTACCTCCAGTCTGTTCCATTTCTTATGTTGAAGCCATCAGGTTGATGTGTACATCTTAGACACTCTGTAGCTTTGATACCCAGAAATTGTCAGTTTTTCCTAAAGGCTGACTTTTAATTTCCCCTGAATATTTAAGATACTCTCAAATGTAGAACTTATGTCAAGCCCTTGCCCACAACCTCACACATATACCTGCGAGGTTCTTCCTGCTTTACCCCAAGTTCCTCAAGAAGGGGAGTCTGCAAGCCAGATTTTTAAAATGCAGATTCTTATCCCCCCAATCCCGCGCACCACCACCCCTCTCCCCCCAGAATTCTGATCTCTGCAGAATGCAGGAATCTGCAATTTCAATAAGAAGCCCCAGGAAATTCTAATAGGGAACCTCACCCTTGGAAATGCTGTTTTGATTTATCACTAAGACCTGAGAAATGATTCCTAAGGCCATAATCTTCTGCTTTAGATTCTGAAGACAGTTCGTGTTCCTTTACTGGTTTCCCCTGGTGAACCTTTGCAGACCTCCACAATGGAAGGCCAGTGTTTATCATGTCCTCCAGAGGCTCCTTCTCCATATAGTACACCCGCCTCTGCCCGCTTCCTCTTCTAAGAGTTGACTGCCAAGCTGAGCCATCAAAGACCCCTCTCTCAAATCTTGGAGTTAAGGATGGGGGCCTTGCCCAACCCGGTTTGGCTCAGTGGATAGAGCGTCAACCTGAAGACTGAAGGGTCTTGGGTTCGATTCCAGTCAAGGGCACATGCCCAGGTTGCGGGCTCAATCTCCAGTGGGGGGCGTGCAGGAGGCAGCCAATCAATGATTCTCTCTCATCATTGATGTTTCTCTCACTCCCTCTCCCTTCCTCTCTGAAATCAATAAAAATATATTTTAAAAAAAAGAATGGGGGCCTTGCCCTCGAGCCCGAAACCCGGTCATGTACCCTGACCAGGAATCAAACCAGCACCCCCCTCAGTGCATGGGATGATGCCCAACCAACTGACCTTCACAGGCCAGGCTTCTTTCTTTCTTTCTTTCTCTTTTAAAGATGTCTCTGGGGTGATTTTCAAATATATATATATATTGATTTCAGAGAGGGAAGGAGAGGGAAAGAGAGATGGAAACATCAGTGATGAGAGAGAATCATTGATCGGCTGTCTCCTGTACACCCCCCTACTGGGGCTCGAGCCCTCAACCTGGGCATGTGCCCTTGACTGGAATAGAACCCGGGACCCTTCAGTCCACAGGCCGACTCTCTGTTCACTGAACCAAAGTAGCTAGGGCTGGGATGATTTTTTAAAATTGATTTTAGAGAGAGAGGAAGGGAGGGAGAGAGAGAGAAACATCAATTTGTTGTTCCACTTATTTATGCATTCCCTTGTTGATTCTTGTATGTGCCCTGACCAGGTATCAAACCCAAAACCTTGGCATATTGGGACGATGCTCTAGCCAACGGTGCTCTACCCAGCCAGGGCTCCTAAAATTTTCTGTCTTCAGCCATTATGTACACCTTCTCCTGTAGGTCATAATGTAGGTCATTAACATATGTATCAATGTTATCTTAAATTCTTTGCTAATCCCAATGTTTACGTCACTTGCAGGCCTCTTTCTATGGACTGATCTTTCTCTTCATTACAGGTCACAGTTTCTTGTTTTGTTGAGGTCTAATAATTTTATTATACCTTGGACATTGTATATGATATGTCATAGAAACTGGACCCTGTTCTCTTCCTCTGAAGAATGTCGAGGTTTATTCTTCTTGTGCCCTCCATCCATTTCTATGAGCCCTTCCCACATTCCATTCTGTCTACCCACACTGTTCCCAACCCTTCCAGACAGCACTTCTAAAGAATTTTACTGTGAAGAAAAGCAGAGAGGTAGGCAGTGCCTGAAGGGGGCTGTGTGGTCAATAAAAAGGTTTTGTTTGTTTGTTTGTTTGTTTTGTTTTTGTTTTTTGTTTGTTTGTTTTTTTTTTTAATATATTTTATTGATTTTTCACAGAGAGGAAGGGAGAGAGATAGAGAGAGTTAGAAACATCGATGAGAGAGAAACATCGATCAGCTGCCTCTTGCACATCCCCCACCGGGGATGTGCCCGCAACCCAGGTACATGCCCTTGACCGGAATCGAACCCGGGACCTCTCAGTCCGCAGGCTGACGCTCTATCCACTGAGCCAAACCGGTTTCGGCTGTTTGTTTTTAATATGAGACAAGTTACAGAAATTAAATGGAGTGTGTCTAGTGGAGAAGAAAATTAGGAGTGGGGAATCCAGGGTGAAGTGGAAAAAATCATTTAGCAGACAGGGTCCATATGGTCAAAGATGAAGTGTGCCATGAATTGAAGAGACGGAGAGCTGCTGGGGGCAACAGCCAACACCCTCTTCTCCCCTCCCCTTCCTTATGATGCAGAGCAAACTGCCCCGTTCACAGGTTCCTCCATTCAAGGTTGTGGATACGCATACCTTAGTGTTCTTTCTCTTTTACTCCCAAGTGCCTCCCAAGGCAAGAACTGGAGAGCTGGAAGTAATGAATAAGTTGGTTGTTATGTTTCTCTGAGATCAACGAAGGCGTTGCAGCATTCTTTAAGAGCACCAGGGGGCCCACGTAAAATTTACTCAAAGACTGAGTGTGAGCCAGGAAGGGACCCGCTCTGCTACTACCTGGCTGTAATTGGACAGAGGGTTTCAAATCACTAGAGGCTTGAAGGTCAGTCTGTTTTCTACCTGCTTCTCCAAAATGTGGGCAGACGGTCAGAGTCTGGGGCAGTGGTATCTGCTGAGCCACAGCAGCCTGCTTCTTTGCCAGGAAAGTTTTTGTGCAGGGCATGGGTGTCCTGGGACAAAGGGCTACAGAGCGGAGACAATGCCCCTGCTGTGTGGCCCCAGCCAGTGGGCCTGAGACAATTCCTGGAGACATTTTTGTTGGGTTACTGCACACCCACAAATAGCTGCTTGAAAAGGGAAAAGAACAAAACTTGACAACTAGAGGGTTATTTAGAAAAAGCATTTTAAAACTAACAGATACACAGATACGCCTGTTCCCTCTTGCAATAGACTCTAAGTGGTTCTCCTAGCCTCCGGTCTCTCCCACACCAATCCATTCTGCATGTGGTAGCAGGATAGCCCTCCTTAAAGCACAGGTTTCATCTTGTTGCAATGTTCAAGTACCTTCAACGGCTCCCTGTTGCCCTTAAAATAGCCAAGCAGGCCCTAACCGGTTTGGCTCAGTGGATAGAGCGTCGGCCTGCGGACTGAAGGGTTCCAGGTTCGATTCCGGTCAAGGGCATGTACCTGGGTTGCGGGCACATCCCCAGGAGGAGGTGTGCAGGAGGCAGCTGATCGATGTTTCTCTCTCATCGATGTTTCTGTCTCTGTATCCCTTTCCCTTCCTCTCTGTAAAAAAATCAAAAAAATATATTTAAAATAGCCACGCAGCCCGGCCGGCGTGGCTCAGTAGTTTAGTATCGACCTATGAACCAGAAGGTCAGGGTTTGGTTCCCAGTCAGGGCACAAGGCCGGGGTGCGGGCTCGATCCCCAGTGTGGGGCATGTAAAGGCAGTCGATCAATGATTCTCATTATTGATGTTTCTCTCTCTCTCTCCTCTCCCTTCCTCTCTGAAATCAATAAAAATGTATATTACATAAAAATAAAATCGCCAAGCATTGAAGACCCTTCATAGTGGAGCTTCTCTTCTCTTCCCGCCCCATCTGCCACTGCTCCCTGGGACTTCTGCTGAGCTGAGTCTCTCCCCAGCAGGGCTCTCTTCGTCATCTCTCTTCCTCTGCGCCCACTCTTCCCTGAATCACTTCTACTCAATTTTTATCACTCTTAGTTTATTTTTTTTAAACATATTTTATTGATTTTTTTTACAGAGAGGAAGGGAGAGGGATAGAGAGTGAGAACCATCCATCAGCTGCCTCCTGCACACCCCCTACTGGGGATGTGCCCACAACCAAGGTACATGCCCTTGACCGGAATCGAACCTGGGACCTTTCAGTCCGCAGGTCGACACCCTATTCACTGAGCCAAACTCTCTTAGTTTAGATGTTATTTCTTTTGGGGGCCTTCTTTCCTACCCACCAACATCTGGGCTGAGCTAGGTGCCCCAGCAAGAGGCTTATACAATACCCTGATTTTCCTATTTAAAAAATAATGGTTGTTTAATTGCTTCTCTTTCCTGCTACACAACAAATTCTGTGAGATCAGGAAGAAGACAAAGATGTCTGTTCCTACCACTTCTATTCAAAATAGTACTGGAAGGTCTAGCTAGGGTAATTAGGCAAATTTAAAGGAAAAACTAAAATTATCTCTATTTATAGATGGCACACAAGAAGCAACCAATGAATGCATGAATCAGTGGAGCAACAGATTGATGCTTCTCTTTTCCTCTAAAACCAATGGATAAAATAAAATAAAAAAGACTTTACAGAAAAAAACCTTAGAGCTAATAAACAATTCAGCAAAGTTGTAGTTTGCAAAATCAATATGTAAAAATCACTAACAAGAAATGAATAGAAAAATAAAAGTAAAACCACAACAAAAATCACTAGCAATGAACAACTTAAAAGACTTAATACTAGTATGATGGCAATACTCCCAAAATGATCTACAGGTTCAGTGCAATCCCTATCAAACTCTCAGCTTCTTTTTCGGCGAAAATTGACAAGCTAATCCTAAAATTCATGTGGAGATGTAAGGGACCCAGAATAGCTAAAATATTTTACAAAGGAAAAATAAAAAAGATGGTGGACTGAATAAAGTTGGAGGACTTATGCTTCCAGATTTCAAAACTTACTCCATATCAAGACGGTGTGGTATTAGCATAAGAACAGAAATATAGATTAATGAAATAGACTTCAGAGTCCAGAAATAAGTCCTTATATTTATGCAAGGACTTATTTGATAAGGATACCAAGAAAATTCAATTCAATTTAGCACTACTAACTAAGACTGAATTTACACATATGCCTGGAACAGTGTAGGCGCTTAGTTAATGATAAACATCATTATTGGTTATTTTGGTTCCATTCTAATGTCTCTTATACTTCCCTGGGTCCCCAAACTTTGGCATCTTGGCACCTCTGGTGGTTAACAGCAGGCCTTCAAATGGTACTGCTTTTGTAATATTTAATCAAGGTAACACCTTTCCAAACTCCCAGAAGGTCTGCTGATGGCGACCCGCCTTTTCCATCATTCTTTTCAAGTGAGGACGAGGTGTTTGAAAAGGCCCGGGCTTTCCCTCAGGACACTATTCACGTGGTCAGGAAAAGGAAGTGTTTAGGAAAGGTCTTTGCCAGCTCTAAAATTCATTGAAATCAACTCAACAAACATTTGATTTAACATTTTTTATTTTTGGACATTGTCCTTTAAGCATGTAATATCTTTTATTGATTCAGTGGCCAACTAAGGCAGCATCTGCTCAGTTAGGAAAGGCACCTGTCAGAAACAAAATGCACAAATGTACTGCGAGGTCCCTGTCACAGGAGACCGCTGAGCTCCCCAGAGCAGGGACTGTGACTTCATGGGTTTAGTAGCACCTCAACTTGCACACAGGAGCCCTTACAGGACTTTTATCAGTTAAAACAAAACACTCAAACCCTTTTATTTCCTCCCCCTCACTTCTCTACTTTTCTTCTTTCCTCCATTTCCAAACTTTCATTTAGCAAAAGAAACAGATACTAGAAGGTAACTCCTCGAGTAATTCCAGGACCAGGCTATTGTGGGCGGAAGAGTCTGGTTTTAGAGCTGGAATATTTAAAAAAAAATTGTTTTTAAAGCAGAATACATTTAGGTAACATATCTATTTGGAGCTTGAGTCCTTAAAGAAATGGCTTTGCCCTGGTTCCACACCTTGCTCCCTGGGCCTAAGTGGGGAGTGGGGAGGAGAGAAGAGGGAGAGGGGGATGAAGCAGGAATCGTTAGAGCTCTGGTGGGTTTAGAAAGGGCGCCTCTCGCTACAATCAGGGAAGCTCAAAGGTGGTTACCAACTGGCTTTGCCCCCACTTTCGCTTTCGGTTTGGAGGCCAGACCCCTGACCTCCACTCGGACACACGGACAAGTCTGCCCTCTTGTTCAGTCCACAAAGGAGTCCATGTTCTTTGAGCCGGGATGCTGGAGAAGAGTGTGATACAACAAAAAGATGGACCTTGGAGCCAAAGAGACCTGGGTTTGAGTCTTTGCAACTTACTAGCTGTGTGACTCTGGACAAGTGCTTTTTCTCTTGGAGTGTGAGATTCTCATCTGCCAAGGGAAAAAGAATACGCCCCGAGGTTATTGGGAAAAATAAGTCCTATAAGGCAACGCCTATGAAAGCACCTCCCAACGTGCCTGGTACGTGGTGGGTATTTAAACACAGTACAGAGAAAAGGTGTCTGGGCAGGAAGAATTTGCCAGTATTTCTCCAGACGTATTTAAGTGAGCATTTTTATAGTGGGGTGGCCTGAGCGGGTGACCCAGCTGTCACTCCTCTCACCTCCCTAGTCCTCAATTTCTCCTCAAAAGGGATTCTAATCCCATGAGGGAGAGAGTCCTAGAATTGGAGTTAAATGTCAGAGTGTGTCACTTTCTGTAACAGAATAAGGATTGATTGCCTTGTTTTCAAGATGCCTTCCATTCCAAGATGCACAATTGATTTTAAAAACAGGAGAGAGAGAGAGAGAGAGAGAGAGAGAGAGAGAGAGAGAGAGAGAGAGCAACTACATTAGGGACCCATCAATTTTAAGACACATTCTGAGTTCATAATCATTAAAATGTAAAAAAATGTTTTGCAATTGAAGAAATATCGTAACGGCAGCGCCACCGGCTCCCACTCATTTAGCATTTGCTGGTGCCAAGGCACTATCAGAGCTGCTTTACTGAGACCAGGACTTGTTACTGTAGCCCCGTGAGGCAGATGTTATCATTCTCACTTCAAGGTCAAGAAACCAGATAAGGAGAGGTCAAGCCACTTCCCCGAGGCCACACAACCAGGAAGTAGAGCTCAGAAGGCAGGTCTTCTTAACTCCAAATCGCTTTAAGGAGTCAAAGAGGCCAGCTCTCTATAGAGAAATGAGTTGTGAACGAGGTATTTTGAATGTGTCCTGACTTTCTGCAAGGTGACCAGGAAAGGGCACAGGTAACATAAACAGAGCTGTAATCTAATCTGTCCAAACACTGGTTCTCCAGCGGACGTGTTAACCCGAGAGCGAGGACTGCTCAGGATCCCAATCGAGGGAAGCCGAGAAATGAGACTAAGCCAGGGTTAATCCGCCCAGAGCGAAGGAGGGGCTCTGACCAGCCACCAGGCTGTCCCAGGCCCCTGGACACTGTAGCAATCAGTAGTGTCCTAGCGGCCATTAATCCTCAAGGTCACCCTATGCCTGCCAATCTGACTTTTACTAATGATTAGAAACCTTTGGGGGAAGAATTCCGTGTCCTCCTCAACCTCTCTTAAAGAGGGAAAGGTGTGCTGACCCATCCATCGTCCTGAGCGAGTTAGCGGTCATCTAGTACCGGGATAAGTTACAAATCCACGAGCTGGTTTTCTGGTTAGTTAGTCCAGTTAGTTCCCCTGATTATGGGATTGAATAGTTCGCTCGGCAAAGCTGTGGATATGGCCCTTACTCTGACATGACTCAGTTGTTGACACTCTCAGATGACAAAAGGGTATTCCACAGCTTTTTGGTAAGGTGGCAGCAGAGATACGGACACACTGGGGGTGGGGAGGGCAGGGCAGGATGGGGGTGGGGGTTGCCTGAAGCTTCAGGGGTTGGATGAGAAGCCCCTGTCGATCTGACTGGAAGGAACTCATATTGAAGCTGCCAAAGGAGAAACGTGCTTGTTGGTCCTGACTGGAGAAGGCTCTTCAGACAGTAGCTGAGATAGCAACAGGGTGGGGGTCACCGAGTCTCCACGTGGACGTCAACAGGGCTGAAGGTCACAGTTGCAGGCTGTTGGCTGCTGCTGCTGGGAGGGCCTTGAGCATAAGGGGAGACTGGCTTGGGGCCCTTGGGCTCCAGCTCCCGCCTCGCCCTCATTTTCCTGCAATGAGATACGCACACTTGGTTGAGTCTCTCCCCTCCTCTGCCCCAGGGAGTGAGTTCTGTGACTATGGCCCTGGCAAAGAGGTTGATGTTGATCGTCATTAAATTATGTTGCTTAATTGCCAACCATAGAATTTCACAGCTGGATGGCACCTTAGACATCAGCTAGTCTGACCCTTTGATTTTTTTGTTTAATCTAAATTACATACTTTATTTTATTTTTTCTTATTAATGAATGAGTAAACTGTCAGAGAGGTGGCTGTATTAAAGCCAAGACAAAGATGTTCCATTTTTGGTAGCATGAGTTAAGTTTTGCAGCCTCATTATGTTGCTAATTTTATTGCTAGAAATATTTAGTAACTTTGAACATAATTGAGAAGAGAATATACTTAAAATGCATATCCTGTCCTTCATTTCATATGCCATAAAGTTCAATAATTAACAACAATCATTCATTCTAATGTCTATGTATTTCCTCTTGTTGACCTGTCATAATTCTTTTTTAAAAATTTCAAATCCTCAGAAAAGTTGCACAAATAGTACAATTAAATATTCGAATACCCTTCACCAAACAGTTCATTGGTTGTTAACAATTTGCCAGATTTGTTTTTTCTCTCTCTCTCTCCCTCTCTTTCTGTCTTTCTCCCCACCTCCCACCACTTACACACACACACACACACACACACACATACATACACACAGAATTGTGTGTGATTTCTTAAAATCACAAGCCATTTGTGAGTTAGTTGCAGACACTATGCCACTTTACCCCTCGGTAGTACTAAGAACAAGGGCATTCTGCAATGTGACCATAACACAATTATCACACTTTGAGATCCTTCCATTTGAAAGATGATAAAATTGGCACCGAGAGGTTAAATGACTTGCCTGACAGACCAAACATCATTTAAACAGGGGCGAGTGGAGTCTTCTTCCACCTTACCCGCTCGGAAAGGGGCTTAGAGTCCCATCAATGACCGAGAGGAATGAAGGGTAGACACGGGGGTTTGATGCCACTTCCTGGTTTGGGATAGACTCAAATTGTAACACCCCAAAGGATTTTAAAAATAACTTATTACATGTTATCATTATCATGATTATTACTTGTAGAGGTGTAGTATTTTCTTTGGAGCGAGATGGACTGGGCTGAGTCCCAACTCTGGCAGTTAGGGCTGCGTGACCTTGGGCATGTTACTTAATCTTCCTGTGCCTGTTTTTTCATGTCTAAAAATTTGGGGATAACAGTAGGACCCACCTTGTGGGGTTGTTGTGAAGTGTAAATGACAATACATGTAAGAAGCTTAGGACACGCGTGGCACATAGTAAGAGATGAATATATGTCATCTACCGATATAAATAATATTAATTTTATGATAAAAACAATGCATGTTTATTAATCCTCAAAAATAAGGATGGCCCTAGCCGGTTTGGCTCACTAGATAGAGCGTCAGCCTGGGGACTGAAGGGTCCCAGGTTCGATTCTAGTCAAGGGTATGTACCTTGGTTGCAGGCTCATCCCCAGTGCCAGGTGTACAGGAGGCAGCTGGTCGATGCTTCTCTCTCATCGATGTTTCTAACTCTATCCCTCTCCCTTCCTCTCTGTAAAAAATCAATACAATATATATTTTAAAAAACTATATCCATTGGGCCTGAGGTGAAAGAAATAAAAAGCAAAATGAAATTTAAATTAAAAAAAATAAAATAAGGATGCACGGGCCCTTCCCCTAGAAAAACCAACAACCAACTAACTAGCAACCCCATACAGCCCCTGCTTGTTAACACCTTGTTGTGTCTCATTTGAGCCCTCCTTGAATGTGAGTGTGTAATCCAGGTGTCTTATCATACTGTACATACTGTTTTTTAAACTTTGACAATTGATTTCTTCCTTGAAAAGAATGACCTTCTAGCAAAGTTGTGATTAGAGGTGATAACACAACATTTATTCTTCATGCAATCAAGTTCTATTATTTTATTTTATCTTATTTGGTCCCAGAAAGTGGAGTCACGTGTACATGTATTTGTCACCCCAAATAGTCATGTGGTTCACCCAGCAGAGGACTACCCAAGAGAAGAGGATTGAAACATCCCTCTATTACCTGCATATATGTACAGGTGTTTGCCACCATGCTCAAGGCCTATACCATTGTCATTATCACTGTTATATTTAAAAAAATATTATCTCCAAGTACAAAAATATTTGGTCACTGTGAAGTTCCTATAGGGGAGCAGATATCAAAAAAGGACCCACAAAGGGCTAGAGGCTGAGGATGGACTCTTGGGTGCTGCTGGGTACGTGACGGGCATCCACACGTGTTAGCTCCCATTCATCCTGGCATCCCTGAAGGGACCCATACCTGTTGTACACCTTCAGCAAGATCAGAACCACGGTGAAGATGATGATGACAACCACAACAACGGCAGCAACGATGGCTCCAGAACCTACAAGGAGGAGAGGAGAGGTGACAAATGTGAGGCCTGAAATGCGGAGGAGCAGTCAGAGCCTGGGAGGGGGGCTCCTACCGTGGCACCTGACATCCCCGCTGGGCCAAGGGGAAGACAAGAGAATGCCGCACCTCACTGCTGACCCCGGGACAGAGTCACGTCTGAGTAGCCGTGCTCCCTACTCACAACGGGGCTTGGGAGCTATGTCCTCAGCACATCGCCTGCCAAAACTCTGCCTTGGGTCGAGTCCAGCGTTACCCAGCTTCAAACCTCTTTTGTGAAACAGGCAAGCAAAATACCTTCCCTCTTTTTTCTTTATTTTAAACTATTCCTCACCGGAGGATATTTTTTCCATTGATTTTTAGAGAGTGAAAGGGAGGGAGGGAGGGAGGGAGGGGGAAAAAGAGATCGGTTGCCTCCTGCATGCGCCCCAAATAGGGCCGAGGATTGAACCTGCAACCCAGGTATGTGCCCTTGACTAGGAATCGAACCCGCGACCCATCAGTGCATGGGCTGACACTCTAACCACTGAGCCACATCAGCCAGGGCCCTTCCCTCTTTTTGATAAAGTAATATGTAATTTTTGTAGAAAATTTTGAAAATACAAACAAAAAAAGGGAGAGGATAAAGACCTCATTGCCCCAAGAATCACTGATTTTCTACACATATATCCACCTTCACCTTCATCCAGCTCCCTGCCAGCACCAGAGCCTGGACCTGTTCACTACTGAGGAACACGCCACATGTCAGGAGGCCTGCTACATCTGCAGAAGTGTATACCAAGTCAACTGAAATGACTGAACCGGACCCAGCCTTCCCCCAATACAATCAACTGGTATTCTGAAGAGTGGCCCTCAAATGTTCCCTCCTGGGGACCCCTGGTTCCTGCAGATGCCTCACCTGGGCTAACTCCTCCCACCTACATTCATTTACTCCTTTGTGAACTGATGGGATGTGTTTGCCTTGCAAAATTAGTATGAAAGTAGCTACACTTTAAGGCGACCCATTTAGGGACATCTTACAAAAGATTCAAATTCCCATGGCCGTCTAGAACCCAAAATTCCCTAATGAAAATAATAGTAGTAATAATACTACCCATTAGGTACTTAGCACACATCTAGCTGTTCTAAGCTCTTTACATGGATTGTCTATTTTAATCCTCACCTACCTTATGTGGTAACGTCATTAATATCCCACTAATAGATGAAGAAACAGGCACAGAGCAGTGAAGTCACCTGCTCAAGGTCGCCCAGTTGGCAAGCAGTAGACCTGAGACCGAGACCCAGGCAGTCTGTCTCCAGAGCCCAAGCTCTTGACCTCTAGACCAGGAGCTGACCTTGACACTTGCCCCGCCATCCCTCCCCCAGCTGCCACGCCAAGTGGACCTTACTCTTGTACAGAAAGTCATCTTCTCTGGTGGTCACGTTCAATGAGAAGAAGGTGGTCCCCCCCAGAGGGGTGGCTGTGGTCATCTTGATCCTGGTGAGAATGAAGATGAAATTTTGTTTCAAATCAGAGTGAGCTTTATAACCCCGGTGTGATGCTTCCTCTGGTCTTTATCCGGATGACTGGAGAATATTCAAGCCTCCAGCAAGTCAGTACAGGCCCTTGACTATATACTTTAGGGCATTAAAAATACTGCCTGATATTTGTAAAGAACTTCATTTTTCAAAGCAGTTTAAATCCATTCAACAACATTTAGTAAACTCCCCCTGACCAGGTTCACACAGAATGTCTGAATTGCTCTTCAAGAAACGGTGTGAGGGAGGTTATTATTATTGCCATTCGACTGATGAAACTGAAGCCCCCCAAACTACATGCAGCCCCAAGTTTACCCAGCGGAAGTTAACCCAGGACATCTGCCTCCCACACTAGAGGGCTTTTCACCGCCTGCAACAGCGTCTGGAATGATATTCCTGCTTTTAAATGTTTTAGAATCTAAGGGGGCGATGGGGGAAAAAAATTAACTGTGATGATGAAGCAGTCAGTGACATAAGCCACGGGAGGAGGTCCATCCACATGGGCTGACGGGTGGGAGGAAGGAGAACAAAGGTCAGGTTGCACAAAGCTCTCCGTGGGAGGAGAGTTAATGCATGCTGAGCACTTATCCTGCACCAGGCCCTGTCCCAGGTGCCTTCACACCCCACATGCGCTCATTTAATCCTCCCATTTTGCAGCTGAGCAAGCTGAGGCTGAGTGGTTGAGTGAATGAACCAAAGTCACGCAGCTAGGAAGATGTGGAGCCTGGACCGGGAATTGAACTGTGACCTCCTGGTTCAGAGGTCGACACTCAACCCACAGCCACGCCGGCCAGGGTATACATTATTCTTTATAATTAAAAAAGTATTTCTGCCCTGGCCGACGTGGCTCAGCTGGCTGAGTGTCATTCCTTGCACCAAGAGGTTGCTGGTTCAAATACGGTCAGGGCACAGGTTGCAGGTTGTGGGCTCCCTCCCCAGTAGGGGGCATGCGGGAGGCAGCAGATAGATGTTTCTCTCTCCCTTTTGCTTCCTCTTTCTCTAAAAATAATCAATAAAAAAAATATTTAAGAATAATAAAGTCCTGGCTTGTTTGGCTCAGTGGATAGAGCGTCGGCCTATGGACGGAAAGGTCCCGGGTTCGATTCTGATCAAGGGCACAGGCCTGGGTTGTGGGCTCGATCCCCAGTAGGGGGCATGCAGGAGGCAGCCGATCAGTGATTCTCTCTCGTCATTGATGTTTCTATCTCTCTCTCCTTCGCTCTTCCTCTCTGAAATAAACTCGGACTGAACAAATGTTTACAATCATATTTTCTTCTATTCTTTATTTAAAAACAACAACAAGAGACTCAGTTGAAATCCCTTTTCTATTCTATCTCAATCCTTCCCCCAAGGTTACTACCTTGGCTAATCGTGTATATTTTTTTTTTCATCAAAGTTTAAAAAAATGTTTACGACATATATATATGTCCATACACATAGCGTATACCCATAAACAGTACATATCCATAGCCCTTATATATATTGTGAGTCAACATATTTAGTAAACCAATATGAATCGAACACCTACGAAGTGATTGACCCTGTGCTAGGTGCTGGGAATACATAATGAAATAAAAGACAAACTCCCTGCCTCCAGAAGCTCACATTCTATTTTATTTTATTTTGGGGGGGAGAAGCTCACATTTTAGTAGAGAAAGACTGTAGGTGTGACCACGGCATTCTTGGGCTCAAAAAACAATCATCTCCCCAGAGCCCACACTTCTAAATCTGGCAGCAAAAGCCCTTCATGGGCCATTTCCACCCTCTGTCTTCAAGCGTTCAGCTCCTCACACCAGCCTCTGCCAAAAGCTGTGACAATGGACCTCTCCATCGTCCCCCATCCCCCGTCATTCCTGGTCTTTGCTGTCTCTGGGCTGGCTGCCCCAGGCTTTGCCCTCCTCAGGCCCCCACCGTGGGCATCTCCCGAGAGCCCCCACCGCTGGGCGGCTTCTCTGCCAGACCCTCCCAACTCCTGATGGAAACACTCCTCCACTGGGTCAGGCCGTCCGCGCCCGGCTGGGGCTCCCGCCTCAGGAGCACCCTCTGTGGCCAGGCCCTGTGGATCCATAGGATGACTCTGCCTTCACTTTCTCAGCTCTCCCCTAGGTCTCTCCCTAAAGCCTCCCTGCTCTTGTCTGCGCCTCCCCGCTTAGACCAGACCCTCAAGACGCCCAGCGGGGAGTCCCCTTGCGGCTCTGCCTCCTGACCTCCCCACCTTGGCCAACGTTTCTTCCCGAATGGACTTCCTGTCCTAACCGTCCTAAACAGGCCCAGGTCGGCCATGCTCCCCCGCCTGCTCCCAATCCAAAAAGATCACATCCTTCAAGGCTCAGCCCAGTCACCCCAGGAAGAGTCCTCCCCGGACAGAATTAGCCATCCAGTCCTCTCCCTCCCTCCGCAGCACTCAGAGAACACACCACAGCGTGCGGCTCACTGGCGGTGGCTGGCAGCTAAGCTCCCGGGTTCACTGAGGGTAGAGCCTGTTTCTGGTTCTTTCTCAAAGCCTTCTACCTGCCCCAGATAACGTGTCCGGATCTGCTCACCTTTGCCAGTGGAAGTACCTGGGGGAGTAATTGACCTTCTCCCAGCTTGGTTTGCGCACCTGTAAAATGAGGTAGCTTTTCCCAAGGGAGCTGAGGGGTAGAGGGTAGGTATGAAAAGTGCTTTTTCGTGTTCTAGTGGATATTAGGAAGTATTTGCTGAACTAAATTACAGAGAGGTGGATCTGGAGCTCAAAACAACAAAAATTTTTTTCTATAAAAATAAGTGTGGCTCTAGCGCCGGTTTGGCTCAGTGGATAGAGCGTCGGCCTGCGGACTGAAGGGTCCCAGGTTCGATTCCGGCCAAGGGCACATGCCTGGGTTGTGGGCTCGATCCCCAGTGGGGGGTGTGCAGGAGGCAGCTGATTGACGATTCTCTCTCATCATTGATGTTTCTACTTCTCTCTCCCTCTTCCTTCCTCTCTGAAATCAATAAAGAAATGTATTTAAAAATAAATAAATAAAAATAAGTGTGGACCAATATGAGAACATGGAATGAAAGTCTCCCCCTACCCTCCCACAATTCCCCCCTACTCCTAAGGGGAGATACCTGCCCTGCCCCCCACACTGTTCTCCATCCCAGTACATAGTTTTAATATGTATCTGCCTATATACCCTCTGCTTCTATCCCCACCAATATCAAGCTGAGAAGACTCACCAGTCATGTTTTCTCAAAATTTCTTTTAAAAACAGAAAAGAGAGGCATGTGGGTGGCTGCTGATCAAGAGTCACTTAGTGTAAGGGAGACGTGGAATAATCACTGGATAAGCTACGTCCTGCCTGTGCACACGCCCACCGCTGAACCAACAACACAAAAGTGACAGAAGCCACCACCCGAGGGCCTGCACATGGCAACACCTGTGGCAGGTATTTTTAAAAATCCGTGCGTTGGTTTCATTTGTTAACTTATGTAAAACAGGGTTTCCTCTCCCCTTGTTTCAGGTGAGGCCCCCAAGACTTGGGGATAAAGCTAACTGTCCATGCTCACACAGCCTGGAAGCTGGCCCTGCAACTTCAAAGTCTGTATCCTTCCCACCGCACTACCCCGCTGTGGGACACACCAGGGGGTCCAGGACCAGTCACCACAGAAACATGCGCACGCGCGCGCACACACACACACACACACACACACACTGACCGGTAATGCAGCGTCTAAGGCACCAGGACACGGCTCCTCTCGGGATGACCTCCTGGGCAACCTCCCCAGTTCCAGGTGCAACTCTTTTCGGTGGGCCCAGCTACTCTTCTTTCTGAGCGGGCAGTGAGCAGTCTCAGAGCGTCTCTTGCCTCATCTCGGGACGAGGGCTCTCAATTACAGCTCTGTTCCTGCCACCTCAGGGAAGGCGGGAGGGAGGGAGGTGGAACAGTGATGGCCAAGACTGTGGGTGTTTTCATGTGTGGAGCCCCAGCCGGTCTTGTTAACCAAGTGAGGTCCAGTAGGGGGATTTCAGTATCAAATATGCCTATGACCAGGGTCTATGGCTATAGAAAAGGGGGTGCATAAGAGTGTACGGAGTGGGTGATGCTGGTTTTCACTGACTGAGGTTAATTTAATAATAATAATAATCTATAATAATAAAAGCATAATATGCTAATTAGACCAGACAGCCGAACGACCTTCCGGACGACCTTCCAGACGAGTCCGGGGCTGAGAGGGCTGAGCCCCTTGCATGAATTTCGTGTACTGGGCCAATAACAATAATACAACTATGTGTTAGGCACTGCACTGAGTGCTTTGTGTGGAAGGTCTTATTGAATCCTCATACCTATCTGGCAAGGAAGGTGCAGTCACTGTGCCCATTCTACAGATGAGAAAGCAGAGGCTCAGAGCAGAGCGAAATCAATATAAGCTCACCAAGCTAATATTGTGGCTGTGCTAGCATTTAAGCTGGGTCTGTCGGATTCCTTAACCTCTTCCCCCAGTGAATCCTCCCAGTGAATACACAAGATACAAATGGCCCAGCATCCAGAGCTCAAGTCAACATCAGGCTCTGATGGAAAACCTACACAGGCTGGGGCGCAGCAGAGAGAGGCAGAGCCCTTGCCGCAGGCCCCTGCCCCTGACTGATCCTACCTTACTGGTCCCTGCCCTGGGCAACACTGGACAACTCTGGACGTCTTCAGCAGAGCCTTAATTACATTTACAAAATCAACAACGGATTGTTGTCCCTTGGATTGTTTACAAATGGCCTTGTGTGGGAGGTCAGTTTGGGAAGTGATAGAGGGTCATGACCATTTACTCCTGAGCCTCCTCCCTGTTCCTTGGTCAAGTGTCAGAGCCAAATCTGGAAGATAAATGTTGCCAGGCCCGCCTGTCGAAAATATCTCCCCTACTGCTCTGCCCCAGTGGTACCCTCCTTCCCTCTGGCTTGGCCTAAAAGTTCCCTGTTGGATAAGAAAGCCAAGACTACCACTCCTAGGTGACCCCTGCTCAAAAGGCCAACTGTAACTCAGAGTAAATAACCTATGAATGACCTTGACCCACCAAAACATTGGGATTGATTTCCCCAGTCACCTGAGAGATGGGAGGTTCAGCTTGACTCGGTCTTTTCCACAGACAAAAACCTCACTGATCCCAAGCAGCCCCTGGAGTTGCTGGGAAATTTTCATTATCAGAAAATTAATCTTCATGTTGGAACCAACATTTCTCTTCTTGTGATTTTCACCCATTGGTCCTAATTCTCAGCCCACAAAGATAATCTGCTACCTCTTATACGTGACAACTGTCAGGTTAAAAGTACTTCTGTGGCCCTAGCCTGTTTTGCTTAGTGGTTAGGCCTTCGTGTTGACCCGTGAACTGAATTCAGGGTTGCAGGTTTGATTCTGTCCAGGGCTTGTACCTCATACCTTGATTGCAGGCTCCATCCCTGGTCAGGGTGTGTGTGGGAGGCAATCAATTGATGTGTCTCTCTCACATTGATGTTTCTCTCTCACTGTCTCTCCCCCTCCCTTCCACTCTCTCTAAAAATCAATGAGGAAAAAATATCCTCAGGTGAGGATTAAAAAAAAAAAGCTCTTCTATGCATGAAAGGTTAAATTCAGTCTTCCACTGGATGGAGCAGTTAAGGTAGCTGATATCAACACTTCAATTTTACCTCCCACCAATAGGTGGCAATAGCAGTTGGTTAGAGTATGCCCCTTTGTACTTAACCTACAAATGACTGGTAAATGTCCTGTGAACTCACCCTGTTTCTAAGTAAAGGAGCTTTCTGCCCTTGAAAACAGCAATTGTATGTTCTCTGATTCATTGCTTCTCAGAGCCTTTAAGTCAGCGGTTCTCAACCTGTGGGTCGCGACTCCTTTGGCGGTCGAACGACCCTTTCACAGAGGTTGCCTAAGACCATCCTGCATATCAGATATTTACATTACGATTCCTAACAGTAGCAACATTACAGTTATGAAGTAGCAACGAAAATGATTTTATGGTTGTGTCACAACATGAGGAACTGTATTTAAAGGGCCAGAAGGTTGAGAACCACTGCTTTAAGTAAACGTTGGGGTTCCTCATTTTTCTGTGTCAATGTCTCCCTTAAATTCAGTACCACAAACTGAACACATGACTCCAGAGGGGTCCTGAAATGTCTGGAATGACACTTTTCTTGATACGTATCAGAATTCTATATGACCTTGGTCAACTTTCTTCACCTCTTGGGTTTTCTGATCCGTAAAACAGCAATTATAAACTCCAGAGGGTTGTTGTGAGAATTAAATGAAATAAATCATGTAACATATTTAGAACAGGGGCTGTGCACAAAACCTATTGGTATTACACTGGATTAATGCAAACAAATAGCTCATTTGCTTTACAGGGGCCACAGTACACTGCTCATACACACCCTGTTGATGTGCCCCTAAAACTTTTTCAGACTTTTTCTTATACTTGTTCATGGTCAATCAGAGCCCTAAGATTGGTAAGTAAAAGGGCTTGCTAAACTGCAAAGTGCAGTTTTATTTCCTTTTATGGAAATAAAAGGCAATGGCAGTTGCATTATTAATGGTAATGATATTAAGATGAGCTGCTGTCCAGTGACTAGGTCTCCATTACGCTCTTGTATAAATGTATTTTTGAACTTAAGTGCAGGACTTTGCATTGATTCCTGTTAGCCTTGACTTTGTTGATTTGGGCCTTCAGGAAAGAAACTCCAGCTCCATGAAGTATGATGTCCCAAGGAGGGAACTGAGGAGGGATTCCCCAGAACTACCTGAGGGTTCCAATTTTCTCCTCTATCACCACTGAGGGCTACCCCCCCCCCCCCCCCCCCCCGCCCGCAGGAAGACAAAAGTCCTAATTCAACTGGTAGAGCATGGGGGCTGTTGGGTGGGCCAAGGAAGAACAAGTAACAAATTCTTGGGGTGAGAATCAGGAGAACAGGGTTGCCTTTCCCACTCGTTTTGCATGTGACTTTGGAAAGCTCTCCTCTCTCTGGACCTTAGTTTTCCCATCTGTAAAATGGTCCCATTTGAAGATGATCTCTAAGAACCTCTCCAATCTATAGTTCTGTTGTATGCAACAGCTATTCAGAGCTTAACTTGAGAACCAATATTTTCATTTTTCTTGGTAGATGCTGACTCGGGGGTGTTAGGAGAGGGAAGTCAGCATATGCAATTCACGCTGGAAGGCAGGAATGCTTCCTGGAAGGCATCTGAGACTGGACCAAACTGAGGAGAACTCCACACAGGGGTCTGAAGTGGCAGCAGCAGTGCAAATGGGATGAACCTCCAAACACTCTGTTGGGCACATAGTAACCCAATCCTGCCTGAATCCCAAAGGGCCACCTCCTACACTCTCCATCCCTGCTGGGTTCCACATCATCTCCCCCGCTCCATCTGCCTGCCTGTGCGTGGCTCTGTCCCCTTGTGTATTACAGCTCCCAAAGATGGGATCCAACGTAGCTTCATGTTCCCTTGCACTTGGGGCCACCCACAATTACAAACCAAATACATGTTCCTTGTGGTTGGTTTTTGGAAATTAGGAAGCACATTTCTGGTTTCAGTTATCCACCTATTCTTTCATCCTCCCATCCACTCCCGCACCCACCCACCCACCCATCCACTGCACACAATTTACCCTCCACCTGTTCTTCTGTCCATTTGCCCTGTCATTCATTCAACCAGCGCCTACCACGTGCATACTAGCACAGAGAGGATTCAAAGAAGGGCTGTGGGGATCATCTTCCTAGAGCTTAGACAGTGAGGATAAGAAGTGGAATTGTTTCCTTTAAGAATCTCTCCTTCAATCAATAATTATTGGGAATCATCTCCTCAGGTTTAGCCCAGCATTGATCTCAGAGATGTCTGATCAATATCATACTGAAGTCCTATGGAAAAAACAGTGGCTTGCAGATCTGGGTTCTAGGCCCACCACTTCTATGAAGTCTTAGTTACCTCCTCTGTCAAATCCTGCCTTGAGGGTTCTCTGTTTCGGATTCTCGTGGCCCACATTGTAAAGAAAGCTGCCTCAAGGAGCTCCCAACCCAAGGTGCTCGAATCTAAGTTCCACATGCTAAGATCTATAAATAGAAATCCCAGATGAAAATGGTCATGGGGCAGATTTTTGCCTAGTGCCAAAAGAGTGGCACAAACAGTGCCAGGAGTCGGTGGGAGGACGAGACCTGTGGGCGTTGTGGTTGAGTCTGACCAAGAGCTGGAATGAGACCTGTGGCTTCCATCTGGCCCTCAGTCTTTGGACACAAGCCAAGGGCTCGGCTCCCAAGTCTCCTCAAACGACACCTCCCGCACAAATCTCCAGGTGCCCCCCTGTCCCCAAGGAGAAAAAGAAGGCACAAGGTTAAAGAATGTATGCCCTTAAGTGACTATGGCAGGAGAAAAGAATTCCACCTTGACATTCTGGTCAGGAAGGGGAGGGAGCTAACATTTAAGGAGACACTGACACAGGGCTAGGCACTAGGCTCCCACATGCTTTCTCACGTAATCACTTCAAGGCGGGCCTTTTTATCTCCATTTTGCTGATAGAAAACGGAGGCTCAGAGAGATTGAGTGACTTGCTCCAAGTCTTATAGCGAGTGGAGGAGCTGAGACTCCAACTCACATCTTCTACCTCCAAACTGTCCGTGGCTGCCAAGCCTCCCAGGAGGTAAGCAATTGTCCTGGGCACTCCACGGGTCAGCAGCCCGAGCTGGCAGGGCTCCGCGCACACGGCACTGTTGCCATGGGGGCCAGATAATTCTCCATTCCGAGACCTGACCTGTGCAGGGCAGGATGTTTAGCGCATCCCTGGCCTCCACCCACTAGATGCCAGCAGCACTCCTAGTTGTGGCAAAAATGTCTCCAGATGTTTCTCAGTCTGGGAGGCAACTGGCCTCTGGCAGAGAACTACTGGAGGGGAACAATAGACCTGTCTCTTGACAGTTCCCTATCCTTCCTCCCTGAGGACGTCTCGACAGGAAGGACAGGAAGGGAAATGTCTACCGGTGGAGAGACAACCAGTAACAACAATGACGATGACAACCACA